GAGTAGTAGGTAAAGAGGAGCATTGAGAATATGCAGTGGTTCTTAGGTGGAAGGAGCCCCCACCAGGGAGGCACAGGTGGTCACAGATGGTCTGCTTGATGGGACCTGGCACCAAATGGATGGAGTGACACTGCTCAGTGCTGCTGGGGGTGTACTCTTTGGGTGGCCAAAGCATTCCACAGCATGGGGACTCAGGCACCTCTTTGGGCCCCCAATTGGGTTCACTGGATCGGGGGGGGGCTGCAAAGATCAGGTCCAGAATATCTAAAAGGCTGCCCTTTCACTGTCAGTTCCTCAAACCTTAAGGCAGAGACGTGTGTACAGATGTGCCTGGGCTTCTGCAGCAGCAAAGCTCAGGGTGCGGGAAAGGCCTTCCCCATCAGCCACCCACTGACGTGTTTCAGGGGCCTCGGTGCTGCCCTCTGTCCTCGAGTCCTAGGGGCAAGAAGCCCGCAAGCAGCTTTCCCAACCTGGGGGTTGCATTTGCCAGAAAGCACAGCTGCCCCAGTGCCTGTTGGAGGTCACCCACTTGATTGCTTTGTGTCTCAGGGCAGTTGTGATGGAATTTGGAGATGAAGTTAACATCGGTCCTTTTGTCATGGTCAGATCACTCCCCAATTGCTATTGCCGCCTCCCCCTCCCCACAGGGAGATGGGGCCTGTTGGGTCAGTCTGCCCCAGGTGCTTGATGGGACCCTGAAGAGTTCCAGAGGGCACTTGGGATGTTCCCTGAGGATCTGGTGGGCACCTCACCGGAGGCCATGGTGCCGGCTGGAACAGGCAGGCAAGGAGGGCCTTGGATGAAACAGCTCCTGTGCCGCTTTTCACGGCCAGTTGTTCTGGGGGACTCCCCGGCTTTCCAAGAGGCTCCAGGAGATGAAACAGCAGAAGAGATGCACCACGGCACCACTGGAGGAAAACAACAGGCAAGTCCAACCAGAGGTGCCTAAGAGCCACGCCAAGGTTTACGCTGTGGCAGTTGAGAGTGCCAAAACAATTATTTCTCCACTCATATCATGTCTGTGCAATCAACCGGCAGCCCTTTTCTGAGGAGGAATGAGCCTGGAGCATCTGTTGGGCTGCTGTGAGAATTTTGTAGGCATCTGGCAGAGAAAGTTGCTTGGATTCAGTTGGAGCCTGACTAAACCGATCCAGTTGAGGTGTCAGAGGTAGACTTGATGGCCTGGGAAGCATTTAAGCTGTAACTCCTGAGGAAGTGCCCAGGATCCTCAGTCCCTCCTGGTCGGCTGATGGCCATGCAGTGACGGCAGCTTCTTTGAAGGCGGGGGTGGCTCTGCCAGTCCCAGAGGAGGCAGTGCGCACCCCCCAATCAAGGGGCCTTCCCTGCAGCCACCATGCTAAACCATTTCACCGTCATACCCTTTTGGGGGAAGGCTGTGGGGTCATAGAGGGACCCAGAAAGGTGGATGAGAGAGGCCCTTTTCGGTCAGGTTTCAGGCCAGAGCGTAGCACGGAAACAGCACTGATCATCGTGCTTGCGGATAACTTGTGGTGCAGCCTGTGTGTGCGCATCCACACGCCACCATTCTGGTTCTCAGCAGCTTTAGATACCGTCAGTCGCGCTATCCTTCAGGACCAACTGTGACGAGGGGGGTGGGAAGCACGGTGTTCGGGTGGTTTTCCTTTCTCCAGAGCCGGTATTGGCAAGAGACAGCCCAGCTCACTGCTGCTGATGTGCAGGGTGCCTCAGGGCTCAGCGCTCTGGCCCTCCTATTCAGTTCCTACACGAAGCTGCTGTGTTGGGTCATCTGTCAGTTTGAGACCCTGCATCGTCATTACCCTGAGCCGCCCAGTTTGGCAGAAGATGGGCAGCTACGCCATGTTGCCCGTCAAGCCAGCCAGAGGTGTTCAGTTGGGTATCTTGACCCCAGGGCCAGCCAGGCGATGCTGAAGGCGCCTCGCAGTGTTTGGAGAGACTGGGGTTTGGTTGGGCGGAACAAACTCAGGCAGTGGGCGTTTGGGCCCCCTAGTGCTGGGGACCTCCCACCTTTGGCTCTGAATGCAACCACATTACCCTGCTTGGATCTGGTGCACTATCTGGGGGCCCTTCTGGACTCACAGCCCCTGCTTGAAGAGCAGGTGGCAGCCCCGGCCAGGACGGGCTTGGCAGAGTTATCTCGTGTGGCAGTTGTACCCCTTCCTGGACCAGGAGACCCTCGCTATGTCCCTCACACCTTGGTCACCTTGTGAACGGACTACTATAATGTCCTCTACACAGGACTGCCCTCAAAGATCATTTGGGAATTGCAGCTAGTCCAGAATGCAGCGGCGTGCGTAGTAACGGGCAGGCTGTGCGATGCCTGGGTACCACCCATGATTCATGGGCTGCGGCTTCCAGGTACAATCCAAGTTAATGCTGTCACCATTAAAGCCGCACACAGCATAGAGGCTGCTTATCTGAGAGACCGTCTGTCGCCCGCAGTTTAAACTGTAAATTGTACACCCTTTACATGGCTCACTCTGGGCCCCGTTGATTAAGCAATGCCGTCTAGCAGGACGTAGGAAATGGGCTTCCTCCCCTTTCAAACAGCACCCCCCCCTAGAAATTAGGACCCCCCCCAGCCCTGCTTAAGGGCCTTTAAAAGAGCACTGAAAGCCTTGCCCTTTCCCCAGGCCCTTTTCTGTTTCCGCAGGAAAGCCTGGATGCTCTTTCCTACAGATAACGTTCTGTTGGGTTTTATTCTTGGTTCTATAAGCTTTTATATGTCAAACTGCTGTTCAGAGTCTATTGGTCTAGAACTCTGATTAACAAATAATCCACGGTGGCTGGAGAGAAGGGAGATCACCTCGGCCAATTCCCGCAGCACACGTGTCCAGTTCAGGATCCAGCCTCCCTGTCCTGCCCAGGCGGTCATTTGGCCAAGCGCCAGGAGACGCAGCAGGAGCTGTGAATCACAAGGTGGGGGGCTTGACTCCCGGTGTTTTCTTCACCACTATCTGACATCCCCCCTTTTCAACTTCCCCACTTAAAATCAAAGCCCTGGCATCTCCTGGTGGCCCCCCATCCAAGCACTAAACAAATCCAGTGCTGCGTCAGCCAGTGCCAGCAGAGGCCGGCCAGTGGGAAGAAAGACGCCCACGCAGACCCCGAGTCTCGCCGCAGCCTGGTCCGAGCGCGGACGTTTATTGACAGCAGCTTCTGTACAGCGCAGGTTTGCTCAGCCGGGCGGCCAGCCCATTTGGCGCCCCCCCAGCACGTGAAGGTGCAGATGGTAGACGGACTGTGCCCCCTGCTTGCCGTCGTTGAGGACTGCAAGAGGAGGGAGACGGACGAGCCTCGGGAGGGAGCCG